CACAAACAGCTCTGATCAAAGCGTATGTCAAGATGAAGCATTTGAGTTTGAAGCTGCTGGAGTTGCAAAACGAAATGACATCCACTGTGAAGTAATTACTCATGATCGATGCAGTTTATCAACAGCATTGAAAAACAAGGAGCAATGCAAATGGGATCCCGTGGTGAGTTTTGATGGCGTAAAGCCAATACAAGCGCCAGCAAACGTGACTTGTGACCTTCTTTTTTTCACGAATAGAAGACCACGGTTCACGTCAATTAACGTTTGTTGTGATTTTTTACTTCGGAGCTTGAGCACATGATTCTCGAGTCGAGTGATTGATCTGTTCCCTTCCTCCACTTTCGCGCGGCAAGAACAATCGTGTGCCGCGTGGCGGAATTCTTGCCTCCTCCAATAGGGCAAGGTGGACAACCACGCGCTGCGTGAAGTAACCGTACTCCTCCCCCTTTAAAGAGCGCGGCGCCCATGCGACATATCAAGGTTAAACGGTAAGGTGCCGCATACTCCCCAATCGCAATAGACGAAACAATCGAGATCGACGAGACAAACGCAATCTATGGGCGATCGACGATGACGGTCCATAGTTAACGGTGACGGTGATGATCCATTGTTGATGTTGCTAATGACGATGACATTCCGTAGTTGACGGTCGATAGTTGATTGTGATTATGACAGACGACGTTGACGATAAGTCGCAAACGTAGTCAATCGCAAACGATGATATTAATTAATCGAGGACGAATGTAACAGACAATTGCAAATCACGGTCACGTACATTCACTGTCGCAAGTGCGGAAGACACATGACGAACAGACTAATCATGTACGTTAGACCGTCAAAAAGATTTTATCTGTTTATAAGAATATTCTGTTCAAAATAATCTTCGTAAGAATATAGAACCGATGTCGTTGAAAAACTCTTAACGCGACTAACGCATTTAGATCATTTTCAAGAGCTGAAAGATGACACACATGGAGAAAATTGCCATGGAAGCTTTGGTATCTAGTTTTTTGATGTGTGGAGATGCCACAAGATAAGTTTGTGATTATGGATATAATGTCATATACTTATTTTGATTCACGACACAATTAACTGCATTGGAAAAAGCAGGAAGATGTGTGTATTTGAATGGACCTAAATCATTGTGAAAGTGGATGTGTGTATTTCAATTAATCAGGATCATTGAAAGAGTATGAAAGTTTTTAAACTCTCCATACTAACAAGGGAAAATCTTTGCTCACGGATATGATCTTGGAGAAATTTGATCATTATGTAATTAATAATTTAAGATGAGTATCGGTACAAGTTATGTACAGTAGAGTGAAGTGCAACAAAATCCAGTATTTTTTCAAACAAGAATGTTTGATAAAATGTTTGAGTTAGTCAATAATGACTATAAACTCTAAAATTTGAGCTAATCAAGATTGACAGTAAATTCTGATTGTTGAGCAAATCAATATTGATGATAAACTCTCGTAATTGAAGTAGTCAAGATTGACAAAAATCCCAATCCAGTTGATGCGTTGATCAAAGTTATTACTTTAGAGAGTTTCAATCGACACTGTGCTATCATGTATATTGTGCATGGGGAGTATAGGTAAAATCTGTTACCCTAGTATTTTCATTTATTTCGTTATATATATACTTCATACTATGATGGTTACGACTTAGTTCTAATTAACTATCGTGTAAAGAATGTAATTGTATTATGTTTATTTTTAGAACTCTTCACAGAGTAATTATATGGTTTACTAGATTTTTATTTCCTATATGCTAGCATGTTTGTAGCTACGTCTTTATTTTATTACTCTATATTGTTATGGCTAGGACTTATTTCTAATTAGCTTTTGTGTAAAGTAAAATCATGTGTTCGGATTATGTGTATAACTTTTTGTAGAGTAATAATGTAGATTAAAGAAGTTATTATTTCCTTAACATGAGTTAATCTTTATTTTATTACTCTATATTGTTATGGCTACAACTTATTTCTAATTAGCTTTTGTGTAAAGTAAAATCATGTGTTCGGATTATGTGTATAACTTTTTGTAGAATAATAATGTAGATTATAGAGGTTATTATTTTGTTAACATGAGTTAAGGCTTATATTGTTGAGGTTAACTTCACTTAAGTAGTAATCTCAGGTTTTAACTATAAATAGCAATGATTAAGTATATCAACTTTTAACCTGTACAAAGAATGTTCTGTGTCATACTTGAGTAAGAGATTTACGTGTAAGCTTTTCCGGTGGACGGAGTACTCTTGAGGGTGAACCACGTTATACATTTGTGTCTTTTGATGTTATACACTTGTGTTGGTTGTTGGATTGAGTGTTTCGTCACTGTGTTTTTTGAATTTTAGTTTACAATATTAAGCCATGTGATTTTTATTTGTTTATAAGATGTAAAATACTTTGTGAATATAACAGTAATGTTCATAAGAAAAAAGATTAAAAAAATGTAATATGTTCTAAATAAATTATGTTAGTTAAATCTAAATTTCATATGTATTTACTTTTTCAATATATCAATAATATGTTTTTGATGATTTAATCATTTAAAACATTATTTAATATAAAAAACATTATTTACATGCATTTTTTGTGTTAACTGTTACATATGTGTTATAATAATTATGAAAAAAGTTTAACCGTCAATAAAGTTCAATTTCACTTAAAATCTTCAAAGATTTGATTTCAAAAAATAATTAGAAAGTTATCAAAATGAACATTTCTAATTAAAACTGATATTCTTACATAATGAGTACACTTTATTTAAACATATGAAGTGTACTTATTATATATTAAAACATATAATACATAGAAAAAAATTCAGAGATATTACATACATTCACTACAAAATGTGATTGTTGTTCTTATATAATATAAATGAATTTTTTTATAAATAACGTGTTAAGGTGTACAATGACATTATTGTAAAGAAAGGGGAAAAACTACAAAATATATCATTCTTGCAATTAATGATGTTGATCAATTTTTTTTTACATGATTAACTTGAAATATAATATTGTAATTGTATCAAATATTAGACCAGCTTCATTCTAATAAAATAAATGTTGTACCAAAAAAATCAATATTTCAGATTTGTTATTTTATTATGCATTATCATTTATATTTATTTATTTTTCAATGCAAACTACTGAATTGATAAATCATATTAACGTCATCATATCTAATTCAAAATCTTGGTAAAATTTTAATGAATCAAAAATTATGATTACATAATGGTCATAAACACCAAATTTGAATATTAAAATTATATTTAATAATATTATTTGAAATAAAAAAATTTAATTTATAGAAAATCATAATAACTAAACAATTTAAATTGAACACGCATGAATATGTGAGATAGCATGATAATCTGTAAGTGAATGGTAAATTAATAAAATAATTATTTCCTTTTCTTTATAATATATGCAACATATTTTGATTATTATATTAACACAGTTACCAATCTCAATTATTCAAGAAATTTATATTATATCACTCCAATATATGTTATTGATTTCATTATGCTTTCATCGTGTAATGGATTTGTTTGAAATCTACACAATGAATGTAGCTATATCTCTTCTTGTATAACATATGAATCATATGATATTGTTATTCAAAATAACTTAGGGAGTGGTTAGTTTTACATGGTTTTATGTCTACTCCTCATCCTCACATCAATTGAGTGTGTTGGGCTCGCGAGTAACTTCATGTACAACCAGTTTGTTATAGTGGAACATACAAGATCGAGTTTCTTGATACACATATCTTTCTTGTTACCAACCCTGAATATGAGGTTAATCATGAATCTTTGCACTGCCAATATAGTTAAATATTGAGTGGATTACCTTTGGAGATGGAACGGGGGTCTTCATTTTGAAAAGAGATTCCTCACATCAATTCATTTCTTAAACAATTGATATAATTTTTGTAGTGTGAGAGATAATTATCCATTCATTTTAATTAATCAGATTAAATATTAATATAATTAGGTTCAATATTCACAACTTTGCTTTTTCCACAAGAAGGGTTAAGCCAAGTTGACTTTGTCACAAGTAAAATTACTATATGTATTATTCCTCTTCTTACAGAAATTACTCTCTCATAAATTTCAAAAAATCGTGAATAAGTGTCTAGTAATAACGTATGTAAGAAATCTATTTATTGACAAATCCCAAATTACCAAAAATTATACGAGTAAAATCCATAATTTAAGTTAATTTCTTTAGTTATAGAAATTCCTAAGCGTTATGAGGCCATCCGGCTGGAATTTTGACATTGTTATGTCAAAGAAGTCCCCCATGACTCCTGTGCATTCTATAAATGTAGCGACGCCGGTTGCACTCTGCAGATTGTTTTCTTATCTCGGCCGCCTCTCTTTGTTCTCTTGTGCCCATGTGAAAGGACAGCGTCGGGAGGAGTATTCGGTGTAGTCAAGCTCTTAGTGACCCATGTCCGGCCGAGCAAAAATAATTACGTTCATATTCACTACAAAAGAACAACCATCGAATCTCAGAGATAAGCAGTTGCTCAGGACTCGATTCTGCATGTTCGACATGGTTAGATCTGTTCCGTACAGCACACGTCAACCTCGTCGGCTTCTTCGAGTTCCGAACAGCACTTCCACGTTGCCCAGTTGGTCCTCGCACCGCTCCTGAGACGCAGTAACCGACAGGCTCGGATCGGTAGCGACGTCGTGTTCCAGATCGGCGAAGAGAATATTCAATCGTCCGCGCGAATCTTCGGCTTCGGAGCGTGGGGGTCACTATGAGGTCTGCCGGTCAGCTTCAGACAGGGACAGAATTAACTTACCAGTAGACGATACGCCTCTCGGTGAAGTCAACAGCGTCGGAACTCGCGAGTCAGCAGACAGCGAGTCGTCGAGGCCGCAGGTACAGTACTGCTTCCCGGTACGCGGAAGATTCTGTTTACGAATTCGGCACGAGTGTGTCAAGGTGTACCTGCTCAACGGGCTAGACCATACAGCTTTCCCGGTTTTGTCGGGCCCATGACGGCTTGGGGTTCAGGTAGCGCGCGCAAGGCTCTGGATCTTGTGAGACTTGCCTCCGCAAATGTTTCAGCTGCCAAGAAGTTGTGCAGCTGCAATCCTCCTCAAGGGAAGGATCTCGCCGTCATGTTTCGCGCCGATCTAGTTCCGGGGAGTGATTCGAGCGGTACCATTCCCAGGGTCATGACCTTGAATGTGATTACGGCCTTCAGTTGTCTGCTTCTCAGCCTCGGTGTCATGTACATAGGCAAGCGCTTTGCGCTAAACTCTCTGCTGCCTTGGCTCGTTCCCGAGTCTTGGATTTGTGCCTAACCTTCTCGGCAGTTTGCGATCATGACTGTTCAACAACGAAGCATGTGCGAACTTCATCGTCATGGTTCCCTACCCTCGTACATCTCACTTATGGAAGCTCGATGATGTTTCTCACAGCGCCTACTTCACCGTTCTCGTCAAAAGAATGGGGTTACGGTGTTCCGCAACAGAAGCTTATGGTGGCAATGTTAGTTCAAATTGGCAATGCGTGTTGTCGTCAAGGTGTTATCCTCCTTTTACTGAAATCTTTCTTTACAATCGAAGCGCCATGTGATGGGCTGCTGACCTATGTTGATCGGAGTATCCAATCGGTGCGATCTATCTTTGTTGGATCGTGGACTCTCAGCTCCTTCGGCCTCAAGTTTACCTTACATTGTCTGCAATTTATGTTTACATGTTCAAGCTTGCACGTCGTCAATCCAGAGGTGAAGTTGAACTAAAAAGTGGTCACTCCTTGTGATAGCAGCATTGCTCATTAGTGCTTGAGTCGTGTACGACATAGTCGGTGATTTACCATCTTCGACAAGAGTTATTCACATCTATCTTTATATGTGGATACAGGTTTTGTAGTTCAGCCGTATCCAGGACGGACGGATGGTTCATACAAAATTTGCTCCCCGGGCTGCAGCAGGTTCTCTCCTTCCTCTAGAAAGGTACATCAGGTGACATATTTCCATATTGAACTAAAGTAGTTTAGCATTCTTATGATATTGGTCTTCAAAGAGTGGGGTCCTAAGTAGGAGTCTTTTTAAGCATTTGTTCAAATCCTCTAAGGTTTTTCTTCTGCATAACGTGAAAACGGCGAGGCTTGATGAAAACTTTCATACACTTCGTCTGGCGTTTCACCACTGGAAAAAATGAGCACTTGGGGAGTCAAAAAACCAAAAATCCGCATATCATATGCAGGGCTAGAATTCAAGCTGGACGAGTGGCGTAATTGCCAGGCTCGAGAAACAGGAGAATCTGTCGGCCAAGTAGAGATTCCCCAGGGACAACTGAAAGAACCAACTGATAGAAGAGCTTTCGGTCTATACGAAAAAGAGTATACAGGAAAAACTACTATCACTATGACAATCTTCACGACCTTATCTCGCAATTATGAATTCACGTGCAACGTTCTCAAGGTCCGATACTCGCAGGAAGGGATAGCAACGAAGTCGGCACGAAGATATGCTGTGAAGTTCATCACTTCTGCAGAAAAGCGGACGTGCCGGACGACATGATTGCGGAGGAAAGAATGCACCGAGGACCGTCACGAAAGAAGAACAGTCGCAAGAGTCTTTTACATTGTGATTTCAGCAGCGAGAAATCACAGCTGAAATTGTTCGGAGAAAATGCAGCATGTGCCCTCTGCGGATATTTATGAGGTGGGGCAACTGAATGAGAAAGAATCCACGGAGCTCTCGGCAAGCTGGAATCATTCAGACTGGGGAGTGCTCTGAGCTCCTGAAAGAGCATATCGAGTGTGTAGTCAAGCACTGGAAGAATAATTTGGCCTTTGGGCCTGAAGATTATCGGCAATCATCTGAGCGATATCAGGCAAGAGAGTGTTTGGAATCTCTGCGACCAGATGCTTCAGACCGGATAGTAGGCTGCACTCTCCTGCTCGTCTTACTTTTTTCTCGAACTTCAATGCAGCGAATTTCCGATATTGGTCAGGACGAACCATTGGAGCCTGGCCGCATCCTACTACTGCGGATCCATCCATTATCCACATGATGGTCTCCTCCGATCTGCGTTTCCTACATTGATTGACGTTTCATCGGGTCCTCGAGACAGTCTGATTTGAACATCTTTCGCAAGGAGGATTCACGACAATTTACGGAGAAGCATATTTTTCCATTTATGACCGTTTTTGAGTTTGATTCCGTTTTTCGTCTTGGATTGGTATTTCGTTTTGGTCACTTCTTGGTCTCCTCATTTTAGCTGGAAATTTGCAGGCAATGTACGGACACGGCGGGACTTCAGAAAGTCATGTTAAACAAAAAGGGAGTCGCTAATGGATTCCAATTATATCTCCGGGGAAAACCAACGTAATAGAGAAAATTGGTTCTGGTGAGTCTTTACGGGTCTTTACGGGTCTCAGAGATGGAAATGTTCTCGAGTAACTCAATGTAGCTAAATTTCTATGTTATGGTTACGAAGAAATGGATGTGTGATGAAATAATTTTTTTTTAATTGGATGTTGATTAGTTTTATCAGAAATATTTATTAATTTTAATGATAATAATAAATAGAAATATCTGACTTCATCAACTGTTAATATACTATCGTATGTGTGTAGAATTACAACAAAATATATTAATTATTTTAATAATATATTTTTAAATTAATTGAAATATTGACATCATTCATAATCATGTCTCAATTCAGCCTTAAAATTCAGTTTAGCATTATCTCAAGAGGATAATTAAAAACTTGAAAACAAACCAAATTTATTATATATTCAATGAGAAGAAACCAGGAAAATTTCAAACATTTTTTATATTGCAAATTTATATCTATATTATTTGGTAGGCCATGCCAAAAAATTGGACGGGGTTACGCGGCCTCACCGCTAAACAGCGAGGAGCGCGAAAGTAACAAAATTCTAAGATTGTTAATTTAAAAAAAAATTTACTTTAATTTTAAAGATATGTTATATGAAAACCATTTGGATATACTGAGAAATAATTATCTTCTTAAATATCATAATAAATTGAATAAAATATATTTAATTATTTTACGAATTTATTAAAATAAATTTTTTTTGGTTAAAAAAAGAATTTTAAATGAATGAAATTAAACACTATAAATAAAAATAAATTATTTCACTTTTTTTAATTTAATGCAAAATTTATAAAATATTTGTTACCAATAATATAATTAAAAAATTATTAATATGATTGTAAACTAGAGTTCATAAATTATGAACCAAGGTCAAGGCAGCTAAAACCAAATACAAAAGGGAAGATAACATACGGAAGCGTGGCCGAAAGGGAGGAGTGGACGGAGCTGTGGCAAATGTGGAGCCGCGATGTCCCGCCACTGCATGCGTCATCATCATACGGAACGGAATATTGGACCAAATCTTTCGCGCTGTTGAATTCTTCGAGAAGCGACTGCTGGCTCCGCTCGATCACACTCTCGCAAGCTTGACTGTTGGCGACCAAGCGATGGCCAGCAGCGCGTGCATCGCTGCCACCTGCTCGAGCTGGACCGTCTCGTGCCGGCAGCCCAGGGGAAGCAGCAGGCTCAAAACTCAGCCTCGACCCTTCCGCGCCTTAACCTCCTGTACCTCCAGCTGCTCCGTCTCGCTCGCGGCATTGTCGTCGTCTCCCGAGAGTCCCAGCAGGTCCAGCGTCGACACTTCCCTGTGGAAGCGCGACGAGCTGCATTCTGCGTTGTTGAACTTCGGACGCACAGAGTTCAGAGCGCGCTCCGGCTCGAAACTTGTCCTCGCCATGGCTGCGGAGATGAAGACCGTGTTGGTTACCGGAGCTGGTGGACGAACTGGTGAGTCCGTCTAGCTTTGATTTGTTGCCTGCGTTTCGTGCATGCTGTCGTTCTGTTTGCCACTCCTGAACGTGGAAAGGAATGTGGACGTTTATTTGTAAATACTTCATGACGTGGGAACGTTGTACATATTCAGTTACACGAAGCGCTGTCCATGCCAATTCGTGAAATGTGCTTCTGCATGTGGCTTTCTCTGTCTCTAATGGCACTTTGTCCACGCCAATTCGTGACATACGCTTCTGCATGTGGCTTGCTCTGTCTCTAATGGCATATTATCGTCTTTGTCCGTGCGATTCTCTCACCATACGTGGAAATGGGTGGCAATCTCTTTACGTCCTGGTTACAAAAGCCTCTTTTCTTTCCAGGTTTTATCGTCCCGTAGATGGTCTGATCCAGTGTATATTAACAATTGCTCAATGCGGAACACAATAGCTTGGAATCTTTGATACAATAATATATCGAATTTGAGTAGAGTTCGGGCACCACTACCATTGGAAACCATTTTTGGTTATGGAAGAGAAACTGCTTGTCTGCTGACCCTGTAGAGTGTCCTGGGTTTCATATGAGGACGAGAGGAATGCCAGTGATGCCAGTTGACAGCCTCTGTATGTAGAAATCTTTGTGTACCTTGTAGACAGCCATTTCAAACGAAAGTCTCAATCGAGAGATTAACAACTTACAATCATGCGTCAAACTTGCTTCCGGTCCTGAACGCTAATGTTTGTCTCATAACCAACCGAAAGAAGCTGTGTAGAGTCTTTCAAATGGGATATGTCTAGTATATGTGTAACGTGGTGATTTGTGGGTGCCTGAGAGAGATTGTTCCTACGTACTTTGTTTCAACATTAGAGGAAATATGTTGTGCAATGTAAACCGTCGGCGAGGAAGTGAAAAACTGAGTGCAGTTACGGCGAGTTGAGTGAGAATTTCGTGCTCGATGATTTGATGAGGAAACTAATGGTACACGAAAACTTGGACAGGCCAAATTGCTTACAAGAAACTTGAAAAGATGTCGGATCAATTTATTGCGCGCGGGTTGGTGCGAAGTGAGGAGAGCAAATCGAAAGTTGGTGGAGGTGATAGTATATTTGTCGGTGATGTTACAAAGCCTGAGACACTCAAGGAAGCGTTCAGCGGCATCGATGCCCTGATCATCCTGACGAGTGCAGTGCCTAAAATGAAGCCAGGTTTTGACCCCACCAAGGGAGGTCGTCCTGAATTTTATTATGAGGAAGGAGGTTTCCCAGAGCAGGTAGTGGGGAATTTTGCGAATTTTGAACTGAATATCGTTTGTGGTTCTTTAGAGATGCGACCAGTCAGTCACTGAGCGATTGTTAGAGCACAGCACCGCAAGGTTAGGAAAGCCCCTGAGCTACAGCTATAAGAATAATGTGCCTGATTCTGTTGTTCCAATGCCTTCACCCACACTAATGATGTTTTTGCTAGCAAATCTTCGAGGTATGCTATGTACAGATGTTATTTATTAGGGTAGAATGTCTCCCTTCCATTACAAAAATTGAAATTCTGATTTGAGGGCTTTAAATTGTGATGAACAAAAACAGGTTGATTGGCTCGGACAGAAGGCCCAAATTGATGCTGGTAAGTGTGGAATGTATCACAACAGCTGCCGAGTTCAGGATATAGAAAATGAAGTAGTTTCTTACTTTCTATTATCCGCATGTCCTGTTGGCGCGTATTCATGCTGGGACGACCTTTCTGCGTATTCTGGGCGGAAAGTCCTGATATTTTGCTAGTGCTATGTGCTATCTGTTGTATGTGAACAGCCAAAGAAGCAGGAGTGAAACAGATTGTTCTTGTGGGATCTATGGGTGGAACCAACGACAATCATCCTCTGAATGCTCTGGGCAACGGAAAGATTCTTGTGAGTGAGCTTCTCCTCTTTGAACGTATTTTAGTGGTAGGCATGGCAACATTTCGATAAAGGAAGACCTTCCTCTTTTAGCATCTCTGGCCATTGGGCTGGTTAGAACACTGTCTAGACAATAATAGAGCTGCAGTGCTGCCCGATTTTGATACGATCATATCCATGTACAGATCTGGAAACGGAAGGCAGAAAAATATTTGTCTGAGGCTGGACTTCCCTACACAATTATCAGGTAAATTATTTTTTTAAACTCTGCTTTGCATTCTAGAAATCTCGGATAGAAGTTTTACTGTGAAGGTATAGTTCCTTGACATTATTTCTTGAGTCTTCAGAGCTGGCGGACTTCAAGACAAAGATGGTGGTATAAGGGAGCTCTTGCTGGGAGCAGATGATGCACTACTTAGCACTGACACGAAGGCAGTCGCCAGAGCTGATGTGGCAGAAGTTGCCATTCAGGTACTTGAATTACGTTCGAAATTTGCTTAGACATTGGCACTGAAGTTACTTATGTTCTGTGATTTACTTTTGTGTCACGACCTCAGTATCTCGTGACCTCCAACAGAGGTGGGTATTGTTGGAAATAACGGTCACATGTCTCTCTAATATCGATCTTGTATCAAGCTTCCACTTGTGAGTCAGTGACTCCCACTGGATATCGGGCTTCGAGCGCCCTACCCATAACTCACCTGCAAAGGAGGTGCTAGAGAAGTAACTAAAATTTCACAACCTCTGGGCAGAATTTGTGAAATTTGGGCAATGTTCCAATACCTTGTTTTTTTCGCCTCTTAAGAGTTTTAGTTCTGCACTTGCTGCAGATTTAGTTTCAGCGGGAAGGTTCGTACCTTGTTACCGTTGTTTCTGATCCGTTCATTATGTTGCGTGATGTATTCTTCAACCTGCTAGGCTCTTCTTAACGAGGAGGCGAAGAACAAAGCTTTGGATTTGGCATCGAAGCCTGAGGGTGAAGGGACTCCAACCACAGATTTCAAAGCCTTCTTCAGTCAATGCACAGCCACTTTTTGAATAGATATTCGTAATTAGAAACGGTATCATACTTAGAAGCTGGGTAGAAACTAACGGCTTTGACATAGATTAGAGATGAGGCAGGTGTACAGTGGTACTTTCAGGTGGCTTTGCGATTGTTTCCACCTCGTTGTGTTATTCATGTGCATAATGTATATCTGCGCGAGTGCGAAGAATTGCACTTCATCTTTGGTAGTGTGTGAATAGCATGTTTGTTGATGCGGCATGGGGAACGGATGAAGAGTCTTATCTTTCTACTGCAAATTGTGTTGTACACATCAGTTGTAGATGATGTGCTGAGTATGGTCAAGATGGTATGCTAAAGATGTGTTTACCATGAGTTTTCAGTTTTCCCAGATGATCATCCATTTGTATTTCTTTTTTATGACATGATCTGGGGCGTTAGCATTGCCATCTGAAACAACTGAGGTTGGAGTTTATGCTTTCATTTTCGTTTGAAAGTAATCGGGAGATTGTGTGTTGATTTGGATTGCATGTACGCGACTCTCCTTACATGTATTTCGATGCTATCCAAATACATGCCACTGAGATTATTCACATCAAGATTCGATTAGCTGGTTCTAAACTTGGTGAATAATTTCTTCACATTATAATAGTTAGTAATCACATGTGGTTACGGAGCAATTTGAAAAGACAAACGGCGTCTTCACACGGGGAATAGCCCGTGGTTCAGTGCGTTACCCGAGAAAATATCCCAGGATTAATGTCAATGAAACAGTCTTAAAGTAAAATGTTAGAGTTTTTACATATATCACGAGTCTTTTTTTTTTCTTCCAAAAAGCAATGAAAATCAAAGGGCCGCATCTTTCGTACCCATAGGCCGTCTAGACAGTCCTGATTAGATAGGTTAACTTTTCGTCAAATACTCCGGAAAATTTGAACTTTCAACCCTATGATCTGGCGTTTTTGAATATTAGGAGAGATAGAACCCTACGACAGTCAACCAATGAATGTCTCGATTGGTTGCGAGCTCAAAATGATGCACTCTAACAATCTTCAACTAGAGAAGATTTAACTTCGATAGTGAAGACGTCGCAAGAGATTTTGATCTCATGATAATCAGTATCGTTGGTTTTGTATTCAGTTTGTTTTGATAAGAACGTAACACGTCAAACACTTCTCTTACTTAACAGTTAAGAAAATCTATATTTATACCTAACTTTCAAGATAATTCAAAATTGAGATGAGTAATTTAACGCTTTGAGATTATTCAGATTGACATTTAAGAATCGCAGTGAGGGATAATATGCTGTGTACATAACTACCAAGTTATATAAATATATTTTACAGGCGTATTGGCCTGTAAAATCCTCTGCAAGATGATTTTTTTTTCAAGAACTTTAGAATAATAAGTCAAATTTTTCAAAACTTAAACAACAATTTTTGGATCAAATTTTCATGAATTGTAAAAATAAATAATGATAAAAGACTACAAGGTTATTTCAGTTGAATATTTATCAATTACGATGCAATCAATTGGATGATGATAACATGTATTACTATAAATTATTAAATTCACAATTTTTAAACTTTCAAATGTCCACATATTTAAATTAAAAAAAATTATTTCCACATGACATAACAAATTTAGCAGAAAAAAATAATAAAAAAAGCGATGTGATTAAAGAAGTATTTCATCATTTACGAATTTAAATTTTTCTAGCTTGAAAAATATGTATACCACCTATGTACAGAAATATAACAAAAAAAACATGAATTCATATAACTACTCTCTTATATTATACACATCTTTTGAAATAATAAAGAAATGGTGTGCAAAGGTATTTTAAAAAACTATCAAAAAGTAATGATACTTATTATCTGATTTGAAAGCTTTAAAATATCAAGTAGATGATAACTTTGACATAAGATACGATATTCACTAGAAAAATGTAAAGAGACAAGGAGTCAAGATCCACTATGGACATCATAAGCATGTAAGTTTTTAAATGAGTTCAACTGTTAAAAAAAACAGCTTTAATCTTTTGTAATGATCCATTTTCAGTAAATGATCTTCATCCAAATATACATCGCAACTCCGAGGTGCTTACATCAAAATTTTAACTTAAGTATCGATTCTATCACGAGAGATTTGCTTGATGGTACCCTGCAGAAAGTAATTTGGTTGATGGTACCCCTCAAGTTTAGTTTTACCCTATGAGACCCCAACGATGGTGTGCCATCAGACATAGTTCTTGTAATTACGGTTACTACTAGTTACAATGCGGGGATTACAATGAGAGATCAATCCATGATTATAATTTCTGGTGGATTATCACGGGGACAAAAATCGATTTTGCTCGAAGTGCAATTTGTCGTGCTTCAATTCTTCCGATCTCACCGATTCGCAGATTTCATTGCTGCCCCCCACCTGCACCCTCCTTCCATAACCCTGTGTATGCGAGACGAGGAGCTCGTACCGGAAAGTGGTCTGAGCTCAAGTCTCGCGATCACCCATTTGTGGCGAACAAATAAACTCCGGATGAACATTTCTTTGCTCGTCAACTAGGGGAGTGGCTGGATGCAGAATGACAACATAAAAACAAGTGAGTGTGATGGAGGGCGAAGTCCACTCTGTCTGCGGGTGGGGTTGACTCGTTGCACATTCTCTAGTTGTTATTAGAACATGGGTGACGGTGTATCGTTCATGGGGTCCCATCGGGTAAAATGAAACCTGAAGGGTCCCATCAAGCAAATTACTTTCCGCGGGAATCCCATCAAGCAAATCTCTCATTCTATCACCTAAAACTATCATTTGTGAGATTTAATCAGGCAACAATAAATCTAACGACCCACATCAAGTTGGCTAAAATGCATGTTACCGAGCTGAGTTTTCTATCACCAAAGATCATATAATACTTTCTTCACACCTTTTTAGAGTTTGATACGAGTGAAGAAGAAATCGTATGGAGTAGTTAAACCTGTCAGCAATTTATATATCGTAGTATCTTTTTTTATACATGAGATCATAAGGTGACATGCGTTCTAAGGTGGTGATGGTTTGAGAGGTTTATTTATAATATAGAGGAACCTCTATCCTGTAAGATATATACGGGAGTAAGATATATACGGGAGTCTAGACACACTCATATGACGTTCCGTGGTTACTCGAGAGTTCCCCATGTCAGGATTTGCGACGAAGTTGACCCAAGTTGATGTATTACTGTAATCACCAATTGTCGTTCAGAGTTTTGTAATTAGGGAACGGTAAGGTACACCTCGGTTAGGGCTAATTAGCCTTCACTTTACTAAATGCTATTCTTTGTTCCATGCAAAGTTATAGGGCTAATTAGCGTTCACTTTGTTGAATAACAACTAATTCTAAAATAGAGTGTCCGATTATAGTAGGGTGAGTGATAACTAAACTCTTTCTTGTAATTATTTTGATTACTAGGTACAGTCTATCTTTGATAATATCACATACTACGTTCCACCATAAAGTGTGACATTTTTGATAATGTCACATTTTGAAAATTTGTGCATAATGCGATATTATAAAGTAAAAGATTAAAGTAAAATTACAATATAAAAAATTAAATAAATAGAAGGTTTCAAAAATTTTGAATGTAAAATGTAATTCAAAACTGTGAATAAAAACAAGAACATATCATAATGTATTATTGAGATTGGGTAGAAAACTCTCACCAGAAACAAAGAAGTTTCTAATGTCACATTGTTTTAATGATAATAAATGTCTAACATCAATTCTAATGAGTTTGTCATGGATTTTTTCTAATATGTACATCCAACTATGACATACAATCCATCCATACGCTTACACTACAAATTTAAAAAAAAAATAGTGACATTATCAAAGACTATAATGATAATAACAAGAGAATTTTACACACATTTTTAGATGACAATATGAAGATGTTATATTAATTAGGGTGACATTATCAAGGTTAGTTGCAATAAAAGGGTCGACTCGCTCTCACTGTACTATACTTGATTTCGTACGTCAACTACAGTCGTCGGTCCCGTAACTGCGTACTGCGGCATTGCCAATATTGTCAGTCTCCGTGGTATGTACCATACGTGCAACGCATGAACGCTGACTGGTTGGATGTCGGACCATGTGCGCTGCTGCCGTGTCGATTCCATTTGCTTGCTCGATTCTATCACGAGAACGCTTCCGGATCTGCTAAATTTGGTTATTCCGCGTCATTTCCGCGGCACATGACGAGCTCGAGGTACCGACGGAGCTGCTGTACGCCGTTACGTTTAGAAGCTCGATGGAAGCTGAAGGAAGAGTGTTTCAGATCGTCGAGGTCCGAAGTGGATTGCATCCAGCGCGCGGGGCAGTGGCAGGGCGCGGTGTCGACGTCGGAGTGGATCGAATCTAAATCTGGACTCGCTGCGAATTGGGGACGTTCCGGTGACGATCGTTCGGTAATTCAGACTTGCTTGTGCTTGGAGCCAGCAGCCTTGTAAGGACAACAGCAGCAAGCCAGCTCGAAGACCAGGGGATGAATTGATGGCGCGCGGTAATGAGAAAGATTGAATGTCTGGGCGACCTTCGTGTGAGATTTCGGTTGCCTTCTCTGTGGCCATGGCGCGGTCGCAATTGCGCGCGAGATGGACTTCTTTGGTCTCTTGGAAGTGATCCGGGAGCAGTGCGGTGAATTGGTGTGCAACAGTTGAATCAAACTCATATTTCCACCGGGAAGAGTGGACTGCAGTCGGAGTACTTATTCATGTGACTATAGCTGGGACCTACGAGGACGAGCTAGGAATAGAACCTGGCCACGAACTTCTGTCATGCATACATAAAGGAAGACAAGTTTTGTCAAAGGAGAAATTGGGCTTGGAAGGGCGAGTCGGCAGGTGTTGTTTATCAGGCTGATCATCATCCTTGTCTTACAGTAGCTGCAGTTGAGTGGGTTGTTGGTCAGAAATGAGTAGGAGATCAGATTTATATACTCAGGGGCTCAAATTGCTGTTACAGCAGCGCAGTTCCTGTGGCTTAGCACTGAGATCCTCATCAGCTTTGATCAGTAATGGATCCAGGGACTTCAATTACTCACGTCAAGGCAGGGTTCCTCCTACATCCGACGTTAGCAGTAGATTCAAGTCTCACTTGCGTCTGGGCCGGTTCTGGAACACTCAATGGCCTGCTGTTGGCCAATGTCATCGTGCCTTTTCAGCAACCTCTTCATCGCAGTCTTCTGCTTCCGTCGAAGAGAAGCTCAAGGGACCTATTGATAAAATACTCATAGCTAACAGAGGTGAGATTGCCTGCAGAGTGATCAAAACTGCAAAGCGGTTGGGTATAAAAACAGTCGCTGTGTACAGTGATGCTGACAGGTTCTCCATGCATGTCAAAAGTGCGGATGAAGCAGTACACATCGGACCGGCTCCTGCAAGTCTCAGCTACCTCTCTGCTGAAAAAATATTGGCTGCTGCCCGTTCTACGAACGCAAAAGTAATGATCCTTCCCTTTATCTCTCATCAGAATCATAATTGTGTTAACAAGCAGTCGAGGTATTTCACTTATTGGACTTGTTAGATATATTTCACCAGGAGATGTTAACTGTGTGAAGAAGCAATTTCTGTACATTCACATTTATTCTGACCGGCTTTCTTTTTAGGTAGTGCATGCTAAATTCTATTCTCGTCATTCTTTATAGACTCGAACTTCCTTTCAATTTTTCAACAGCTCTGGTTTCAGAGACGGCGACGAGAACCATCTGAGAAGTTGAAAACTGTGTGAAGAGACTTGAATTGAAATCTTTCCTTTCTATTAAGTTGAACCTATGGCTGGCATTTTCATAGGCAATCCATCCAGGCTACGGGTTTCTGTCCGAAAATGTTCACTTTGCTGAATCCTGCAAGAAAGAAGGGATCAGGTTCATAGGTCCACCATCCACAGCTATACATGCAATGGGTGATAAAAGGTCAGTGCTCCTTCAAATTGGTCTTGAGATTATTGAAATCGCGAGTAAGCAGCTGAAGATTTTTAAAAATTTGTTTGCGAAACAAAATATTGAGCCATCCAGAAGTGTGCTATCAAGTTGTTAGTCCCACTGGAAATTGCCTCTTTGATCGCATATTTTCTATCAAACATAGATTAGAATCATAAACAACTCGTAGTGTAAGTGGGCAGGAAGTCATTATTGCAATACGGATGCCCTGTCATCTGGACGACGCAGAATCTTCTATTTAAAGATGCAAGACCCATATTGTCTGTTTGCAGTTTCACCACTTGTGATTGAGTGCAGCAATAGTAATTCACGTTGGATGTCTGCACCACAGTGTATCCAAGAAACTCATGGAAGCGGCAGGTGTCGCAGTCGTACCCGGATATCATGGTGATGATCAGGACATTGATTTGTTGCAAAGTGAAGCTAGACGAATCGGCTATCCTGTACTCATCAAAGCTACCCAAGGTGGTGGTGGGAAGGTAGAATATGAATAACATCATAAATAAAACGATTTATATCCATATTAATGTGTATTTCAATCTCGATTATTGAGAAAGTCCTGCCCGAATTTTAGTCCAGCTTTAGTTTTATACATGTGATCAAGTATCTATTTTCCTGGGTTGGGTGCAGGGTATGAGAATTGTACTCGAGGAAAATGAGTTTCTGGACTGCCTAAGTAGTGCCCAGCGTGAGGCCATGGCTGCATTTGGTGACAGCCGAGTCTTGATAGAGAAGTATCTAACAAGGCCACGACATATTGAAGTGCAGGTAATTTTTTCTGCTTTTTCTTGTTTGCAACTGGAGTTTGTTTCAGTTTTGTTGAGGATGTTGACGTTGAATCATGACGGCAGATTTTTTCCTTTAATTTTCTGATGAGATGTCCACCTCGATGTTGAAAGGTTGTCCTCTTTTTTTTTGGCTACTTTGGACTACTCTTCACAGTCTGTTACTCTAAACATAATGAAGACTGTCAACAATTTCTGTATCGCAGATATTTGGTGACATGCATGGCAACGTGGTACATCTTTTTGAACGAGATTGCAGTGTTCAGAGGAGACACCAGAAGATAATTGAGGAGGCTCCGGCGGTAAGTTTTTAAGAAGAGCGACCTTTATGACTTGATACTGATTTCTCTTTTCTTTACTATGTTCGTGAGAATAACATATCTTTTATTCTTGAGTTATTTGTACTAGCTGAGTAGTCATGTAAGATAGCTGGAATACTTGTATTATATCTGTGCATTAAGGTTCGATCAAGACTTTACTTTCTAGTACTTGCCAGTAATAAATTGAAGAGCATAGACCCGGCGCCCCGCTGAGCTTTGCCACAAGCATTATACGAGGAAGAAGTTAATGAGATAATGAGAGGGAAGTAAAATAATTTTTAGAGACAGTGGTAAGTCGGATGCCGTGCCTTCTCCTGCTTTTTTTTTTGAGGGTTGAAATGCAAAAGAAACTCGTTTCCTAAACCCTAAACTTGTTCTCTTTCTTCACAGCCAGGCATTAGTGAGGAATTTCGTCAGCAGATTGGACAGGCAGCAGTAAATGCGGCCAAGGTACTTTCTACCGCTGAATATCTAGTTGAGCTTTTGGGCCATATAAACTGGACGACAGCCTCGTATGTTTGTTCGAAAAAACTGTTAAATTTGATGTTGATAATAGCGACCTCAATAAGCTCTGATATCGTTCACAGTAGCTTTCAGATCTAGACCTCCTCATGCCCTCTAATGTCATCTTCTGCCGTTGTACAGGCAGTTGGCTACGAGAGTGCCGGCACAGTGGAATTTATCGTAGATACTCTTACAGGAAAATTCTACTTCATGGAGATGAATACCCGGCTCCAGGTATTACGCTTTTTTTTTTTGGATTTCCATACTCTGAAGGTGCGAAAATCGAAAATGTCATCCACGCCATTTTTTATACAGATATTTATCACATCAGATTGTCCACTAGATCACTCTAATTGGCGATGTTTCTCAACGGTCTACGAATCATGTACTGACTGTTCTAACATTGACAGGTAGAACATCCCATTACAGAGATGGTGACGGGCCAGGATCTGGTTGAATGGCAAATTCTTGTAGCCAATGGAGAGCCTCTCCCTTTACAGCAAGATCAACTCCAGATTTCAGGTGAATTATCTCCCATTGACCATAAAATTGGCGCAAGGCAGATGCCTCGCGCCAATTTTCTAGGGATATTTGCCTTAAGAGCTTAGTCTGTCTATGATAGACTGGACTTGTCTATTGGTTCTGATAACTATGTGGCTCATTATCTGCTTGGTTTATGGTTGTTGTCAGTCTACGCCGTTGGTATATGGCTCTTTGTTAGTATTCTATGTAATCTTCTTCTGTAATCTATCCAACTCAGGACATGCGTTTGAAGCTCGTATATATGCTGAGAATGTGCCAAGGGGATTCCTACCAGCTGCAGGAACTCTGCATCACTATAATCCTCCTCCGGTTTCTTCTACAGGTAACCTTCAACACTATAATGTCGACCAGCCCCAAAGAGACCTGAAACTGTATATCTGGAAAAGACAATGAGGATGTGTGCTTGTTGTTTTGTTTTGTTTTATGTTTAGGTTGGAATGCCTGAAAATACTTGAAGTGAATCTGAACGGGAGGTCAATAACCTATAGACTGCCAAATATTTCTGATGACTTGTTTTCTTGATGCAGTTAGGGTGGAAACAGGTGTTGGTGAGGGGGACTCTGTTAGTGTATATTATGATCCCATGATAGCTAAATTAGTAGCTTGGGGCCATGATCGATCGGCAGCTTTAGTCAAGCTCCATGATTGTCTGTCAAAGTTTCAGGTATGGGATCAAACGTGACCTACCTTGTGAATTTCATCTAAACTATCATGAAAACTATCTGTGTGCTATAAATTCCAGTTAATATTTTTATCCCTCACAGATTGCAGGCCTTCCCACGAATATTCCATTCCTTAAGGCTCTTGCTAAACATCCTGCTTTCGTAGCGGGGGAAGTTGGTACTCACTTCATCGATCAGTACAGAGAAGAGCTGCTCCCATCTGCAAGCAATACTGGACACGAGTCTAGTCGAGCAGCTGTAAGCATTCATCTGGATGCCAAAGCTGCGAGACAGGCTGCTGCCATAGCAGCCGTTGGGATGTGTTTGACATCAAGTTTAGGCCTTCAGGTGCTAAAAACTGGTATATCTTCAACACCGCTGTCGTTCAGGTGTTTGTAGCTTTCAAAGTTTGGTGCAAATCGAATCTTCTTTGATGCGTCCAAAACGAAACTAGCTCGAATCAGCTACCATATAAAAGGGTCTGTGTCTTAAAAGTTTATGGCATGGTGATGGACGTATGAACTTGTTATATCTGCAATTGATTTTCTTTATGACATTTCATGATGTCTAGATTGCAGGCCTTGTTAAGAACATCACATCCTTTTATTATAAGTGAAACTTTTCTGAATGTTTCCATCTTTGATTGATTGACAATTTGCAACTGTAGGAGTTGAAGGATGGGGCGGCTGGAACTCTGGGTCAGGGTTCAGATTGAATCATTCATATTCCCGCCTTATGACGATGGAATGGAAGTCAGATACTCTTGAAAACTCCTCAGTCCCCATCAAGCTGTCGACTACGTATGACAGGAATGCAAATTTTACAGTCGAGGTAATGATTATCACTTCCAAGCTCGTCGTTGAATACAAGAATCGCTTGACGACTTTCATGAATAATATAAATTTTACAACATGTAATGATTTAATAAATGTCTTCATATATCTCTACGAACAATTTAGAGATCCTATCAGAACTTCTATGTTTGATGCTTGCAATCAGCACAAACGAACTGTACCAAAGATGCGTTAACTGCAAGTCAGATTCAAAACTGTTATCAGAACAATGTGAACTGACCAACATATGACCAACTTCATCATTAAGCTCACTGCTCTAAAGGTGACTCAAGGTTTCAGTGTTGAACCTCGCTTGTGGGGATGCGATTGAGCAGGTTCAAGGAGAGGAGCCACTGCGCCTGACCGTTACAGGGCAGAGTCCCGGCGATAGGTGCCGAGACTTGCGCCTAGATGTAGATGGTCAATCCACCAATGTCAGTCTCGCACAATACTTCCAGGTACGTCAATAATCAGCATCTTTCCGACCCCTAAGTTGTTTATATTTGTAAAAAGTAGAAGCTTGATCTCCAAATAAGTTGCAGCACTCTATTTCATGATTCATTTAGTTTGATTCCAGCCTGCACGAAGTGAATACGGTCGTATCAACTGCTTGAAACAGAATGGGATAAACAGTGTTCATCTGTGGCAAGAGGATCAGCATTATCATTTTACAGTACCTTGGCTCTCTTTTGAGAGAGAGGAATCTGATGACGAACAAGGATCAGATAAATCCCATCGTGAGCAAACTTATAGTACGACAGCTATCGGTTCCGTCACTGCCCCAATGGCTGGCCGTGTTGTAAAAGTTTTGGTGGAGAATGGAGCGCGTGTAAAGAAAGGGGAGCCTTTGCTTGTTCTTGAAGCAATGAAAATGGAGGTAGGTTTAGGGGCTTAATATTTATTTACTCTATTATTTCATGTTTAAGAAGCTGTATTTTTCAGCAAGTGTTCGTTTAGTGGAACAGAATCTGTCCCGTAGGCTTGCCTGCAGATAGAAGAAGATAGTCAAGGTGCATCGTTCTTTCCAGCCTCTAGTAGCATTCTTTACACCAATTGACATCCTGGTCTTCCCATCCTTTTGCTATGTATTTCTTACTTCTTCTTGATGTATTTGGAAATTCGAAGTAGGTTTTAGCTGTATATCTTATTTAGATGTTTATTTAAGCCATTGCATTGGATACTCCTTCATCTGTGGCTCATGTATGTGCAGCACGTTGTGAGGGCACCCGTGGAAGGGCTGGTTGATGGAGCACATTTAGTGGTTGGGCAGCAAGTAAACGATAACATGGTCCTCCTCCAAATAAAGGTAAATTGTATCTTGCATTTTCCTTGAGTACAAGCCATTCAAAGTGGTTTTGTGATAATTACTCAGTGTCTTCTCTATATAGAGATTCACCTGTTTCGTACCCACAGGAACGGAGGCAGAATTTGCCAGACGAGGACGATGATGATTCGGAGTGACACTTGTACAAAATCTGAATGTTTCACTAAAGGGTACCTCAAGTGACGTGCTTTGTCTTGTATAGTCAAGGGGAGGAGTAGCTCTTCATTCTTGTAAGTAGACATCGCTGGTCTTACGCCCTGGGGCCGACAGTGTATATATATAAGCTTATGACAATTTGCTTCAATTGAACAAGCGCGTTGGCTTCTGTTGAAGGCCAAGACAATCCAAGTTTATGGTTTGATTTTCTCTCGGGATTCTTTTGAGGGCCTATGCGACTCACAAATCTATAGATGGGAGTCAAGCTATGCGTGGTTCGTTTTTGTAATCGATGATGAATCACTTCATGAACTGTTGAAGCTTAGTCATGGAAATTAGAGAACCTAGAAGTGATCGACATTCGGTGTATGTTCACATCTTCCGTTTACTTCCCATACGTAATCAAACATGCAGAGTTGCAACGTTTGAATCGAGTCTACCCTAACCGCAATGGCAGGAAGTAAGAACCGTATTCAACTGGAACCAACTTCAATGTTTAACAAGAAAACTGGAAGCTACTAGAGGAATTAGAATTCTTGCAAAGAGACAACTGAGAACGGTTAGCCTACACCATCTTGAGTACTTTTTCAAATTTCCCTATCGCCAGCGCAATATAGCCGCCGGTAAAGGTACCTTTCGGACTTGATATACATGGGGCGGGGCAGTCTCTCGTTCCTACAAACATTTGACACTTCTGATATAAAATTACTATATTGTAGCTGAATGGGTAGTTTCTTAAGGATTGAGATTTGACATGTCAATTCTTTCTTACCGTCTTGGCCGTAATCACGTGTATTATCAATCAATACTTGTAGTTTCTCATGTGACGGAAATGTGTGACGCTTCAGATCGCAGTCGTAATTGTTATACCACGAGGTATCTCAGAATTTTCGAATTGCGTGACTATCTAGACTTTGTTTCGTATCTTGATCGGTCATCATCTATTCTCGAAAGTTCAATTTTTTTTTCTTCTTCTGAGATTAGCTTTCAGGTTTTTAAATCATCGTCAGCTGTATCCAATCTTTCGTTGAGTCCTATGCAGCTTCTACCTGTCATACCCTTTGTAGGCCTGATCAAACCTGTTGGGTTTTCTGAGCTTGCTTATATTTGTAGTTCCCGTTTAAAATTCTCAAGATTGTTTGATCGAAAGTGAATCATGACGAGGTTTTCCTCTTTCAGCTGACGTATCCATTGTAACAAATCAGCATATATGAAAAGGGGCTGTAGCGGGTGAAGCGTTTGACTTCAGCGGCCCCGTGATATCGTTACCCCTTTGCATGTCACATTAGCTTGCAACTTCTTGTTACTGACGGAAATCGCGGAACAAACTAGACGAGTTCTTCTGGATTGCACATGTACATCAAGTTGGTGAGTTAAGTTGGTGAAAGCAAATACAGACGAGAGACCTGATCTGTAGAGGAGGAAGATGCTTCCATTGGATTGAGAATCCAATGTACATTTCTCACCATTTTGCCCATAACTTCCTGGTCACAGGCTTCCTTTCTTTGCTCGAAGATTAAAGCAAAACCTTGGTTGCCATGTCAGAAGTCGCTGCACAAATTTAGAATCGTAGGGTTTCCGACCCTCGTGGGTTCAAATCCACAAGAATAGAAGAATCCTATAACTGTAACCTTGTTTAGGTGGAAAGGACAGATTTTAAGGTTAGCGAGTTCTTCACCCTCGTGTGCTCATTGTCCGCCTGTTTTACAATGTTGCTAATTGTAGAAAGTCATTGTCGGGAGAGTAAAAAGCTCGGACCATGAAGATGAAGAGTTACTAACGGAGATACAGGTAATCAGCCGACCGGCCCTTGAGGAAGTCGAGGCTCTGTATACTTTGAGACGCTTGTATGAAAAAAAGAAAATGTGAAGCCATCGGAGAGAACGCACAGCCGTCAAAAGTAAGGGGCCAAGCACCGAGGACGGAAAGAGCTAGTCTTTTTTGATTAAATCACTATCCTTCTAATTGTATGTCTAATTTCATTTGCATCCAAAATCGTCGTAAAAGGTGGTGCTCGTCTCTAGCGGATGACATGAGTAGCACCTAGCTCTGCAACATCTCCAAATGACTTCTGTAACAGCTTCGTGGAAACTGTGAACACCTCAGCAGCAGTAATTATGCGTCTTACCAAGGAAAGAGTACAAGTATTACATATACTTTCACGGTCATTCTCACGTTGCATTCTCACGGTCAATGATGTACATTTACGTATTGAAAGGCTCAATGTGTAGATCTACTTTGCTCTTAAAGCGGAAACTTATTGATGTCAAGATTGCACCTTAGGTATCTACATCTAGATCTCACGAGCGAGTGAGACACCAGAGGAGTATTCGAGCAATTAGTAGAAAATCGATTGCTAGATTACTTGCATACGAGAGTCAACTATATTGCAGCATCAATTTTATATCATGTATGTCGACAGGTGGAGACTTAGTAGAGGAATATGTTTAGTATCAAGGTTTTTGAAGTCAAGGTATCTCTGCGGTGAACACCGTGTTCACAAGACGATAATCTAAGAGGAAAAGCGAACGATCGAAAAGCAGGCAAATTTCAAAATCCGGAACCTCGCGAATAATCGAAATCCACAGTTGTCAGGGAATCGCACCGCGAATGAACTGTCTCCCACCTGCTTATGAGCTCGCGGCAAGAGGCGGAAGATCGACAATTTGAACAACCGGTGACGACGATGAAGAAAAGCAGGACCCGTCTCGTGCGAATGGATTTTTCGCAGGTTCTCCAGAATGCCGATTGCCAGGTCAGCACACACGTGGCAGCGTGGAGAAGCGCAAGCAGATACGATGTCAGAAGAGGCCAGCTCGTTGCATGCTCATGCTCGTCTCGTCTCTGTCTCTGTCCTTCCAGCTCTCTGCTCCGCAATCCCCCGCGTCGAACAGCGGGTTCAAATCCGGGCTCCTTCCAAAGCTCGGAGATCCATCGACTCCCCTCCTCGCTGTCCGCCAGACCAGACTCCCGCTGCCACGTCATCGACACTGACTCAAAAGCTTCGTGACCATGTGGCGCCGTCTGCGTGCCGAGTGCATGTCAGTTCTCGCTGCTTTGCTTTCCGGCCTTCCGTCGTCGTGACTCGCTCTTTTTTACCCTGTGCTCCGTCCTGACGCCGTCCTTGCTCCGTCTGCCCGTCACGCTCCGCCGGGATTCCTACCGTCGGGCCGTCACGGTGGCGGATGCGACGGCGGGCCAAGCCTTTTCACTCGAGGCAGAGCTTTTCGTTTCCATCGCTACAGCACGAAAAGGTTCGCCGTCGCAGTCCTAAGACGCATTTCCTCTTTAAGTGTCTCTCAATTTTCGGCATAATTTCACTGTTTCTACGTGATACTCACTTTGGAATCATCAGTTTTCTTTAGTTTATGTTAGTCAATTTCAGTTATCATAATTTCATAGTTTTACATACATCAGAGATTTTATACACATCATTATATGTTTTCAAAACATGGTAGATGATGTTTCTGACGATCACATGCAAGAGAATTCATTCTCGCCATCTTATGATATAGCAGGTACACTAAATTAATTTCCATGGATTTCTCAAATAATCTTTCGGAATGAAATGCATTGGGCTCGGTGAGGGTCTTGACTTGTGTTCATATTTTATCATGGACATGTCTTGCTCTATTTCGGTTCAGCTGTAGAATCCAGCTTTTCTTCGAGAGAATCAGACGAATTCCAGAAGAGACGACTTATCTTCTGACACAAGGGAAATCAATGTTGCAATTTGCAGACCAGTCAGTCTGCAAGTCAGCCGCTCGTGGACCCTACCAAGAAGAAAAAGTCTATGTTGAGCTTTCGTTAGTCCAACCCCAAACGTTGCGTCAGTCTTGCGTCCATCTCCGCTCACGACACCAGTACGTTGGAAGAGTTCGCAATCTTGCCTGCCGCCTCTCGACCTGCCGCCTTGATAATCCTCGGATGTTTTTAACTTTGTAATCCGGCCTTTGCACCAGAAGTCACTAGGGCATTTTCCAGGGCAAAACACGATAATCACTTGCGAATCGCTGTCGGTTGTACACTGAGATTAGCTCTGCGAACTGATTGTCAAAATTCAGGCCTTCTTCATCGACAAAATTCTACAGGAAGGAGTGTACAAGCGACCGAATTGAAGACAAGCAATCGAGTCTCAAAGACAAGCAACAAGAAAATTCGGACGAAGGCCGGACCCTGCTTCTTGTCCGGGTCGAGATGCAGCATGCTTGGTTTGCCTCCTTCCTTGCCTGATATGCCCTGCGTGTGACTCTGGAAAAGATACGAGCTAGCTTTTGCAAAATCTGTCGCACATCCAAATGGAACGAGGCGCGAAGCGTCTTCGTCGAGCGATCGCTTCTCGGTCTGCGGAGTGACCCCAAGAAAAAGCGAAACCGCATCGACAACGAGGTCGCAAATGGTCTCCCGGAGGTCGGCGCGTTTTCCTTTCCCGGTCATCAAGAGGGCGGCCACTGTGCCCGACGACGTCTTCATCCGACGCGACGCCAGATTGTCGTCGCGCACTTTGCGTCGGACCGCGCATCTGGGCCCGCACAACCCGACGCGGTCGCCGATCCAAGTTCACGTACGGCGGTCGAAACGTGGTTAAGCTCCGAGTGTATGGCCCTCTTATGCACTCTCTAAATATTGCACCGTCTTTTGTCATGCCCTCTCCGAATCTACCCAAATTTGCCAAATCAATCCTTGACTCTGTGCTCATAGTCAACATTAGTTTGTTTGGGCATTCTAATTTGTTGTTGTGGATCATTTCGCAGTTCCAGACGGTCTATTTTAGGCATACCCCGCGCAGGAGCCAGAGAGAGAGATTGGGTCGAGCATGGACTAATTTTATATACTCTAAGTCGGTGCGATATATGAACCACTTAAAGCTAAGCATGTCTTACAATCGTTTGGAGTAATCGGTGTTGTTCACTCCCTTATTTCTACCGTCATCAGTTAAAGACGAGCACTTGGTGAATTGTTTTGGATTTTATTGACGTCATTACAAAGCTTTTAAAATTCACAACATATTATTAGATCGAATCAGGATAAGATTTTACATGCTTGACCTTTACCATGGGAAGCGATTTTATTTTAAATCTCTTGGTGGACTAGTTTACACACTTACTAGTTCAAAATTTTAATTTCAATATCCGTGATGCAATAATAACCTCCACGCCATCACATTATCCTCAATTTTGGGAACATCCACTTTTCATTTCAAGTGAATGGAAAAAGAAACATTTCATGATCGATAGATGCAATCTCATATTCAAGGTCTGGCACAACTTATCTTATGAAATATTAATGGAACAAAGCATAGCTAAATAACAAAAGACACATTTATAATTAAGACCCCATCAAGTGTCACCAGATATTAAAAAAATTTAATTTCAAATACAGAGTTTATCTTGAAATAGCTGATTTCGCAGCAACTTGTCCAATGTTTGACTATCTACCACAAAAAACTGTCACAAAAATTTGAGTCTGCTCAAACCACAAATTACAGTAGCCAGTCTTCTTGGGATTTTAATAAGTGAACGGGGGTATGTATTAAAGAATTGTAAGTCTAAAATTGGTAACAGAACTTTTGTATTTAAAAAACATAGATAAAAAGTTTATGTATGAATAAAAGTCGATATTCCAACATGAATCTCATGCTTGCAGACCTAGTGGTAGAAAGTTTACGATGGGAGAGCAAAAGTCTCTCGAGCATCATCCTCATTCCACTGCAAGTTCGCATCACGCGCTGCTATGCTTGCACTGCAGACGATGATCATCAGTGTATCTGAAGTAAAACAACTTCCCGTCCTCACCCTGAGTTAGGACGACAACAGCGGACGTACGCAGTTAGTGCGGAGGAGATGGTCAAAGCGCGGAGAACAGTGGTCGTGGTCGTGGTCGTCGCCGGCGGAGGAAATGCGGTCACGACACTGGACTCGGTTGAGGCTGGAGGCCGAGGTGACCGCGGAAGGGGAGGGTGAGGGTGGAGCAGGAGGAGGAGGAGGAGGAGGTGACTGCCGGTGCCCGTCCCGCTTCCGAGGCCCGCGTTTTCTCGTTGCTTTTGTCAGGATGCGCGGATGACAGGGCCCCTTGGGCCTGCCTTGACTGCCAATCTTCTCCAGCCCTTCGCTCGCTCTGCCGCTGCCCTCTCTCTCTCCCTCCCTCGCTCCCTCCCTCCCTCCCCTTCTCCTCTGCTTCTGCGCGCGATTGCTCTTTCACCCTCTGCGCGCTGGAGGTGCGTGCGCCCGGAGCGAGAGCGCGTGTCCATTCGTGCTCCATCGGTGCTGGTGTGATTTGACCATCGTCGGCTCGTCATCGTATCATTGTTGTGCTGTTCGGTGTGGTCGCTCGCTCGCTCGCTCGCTACATCTGCTTCTGCAGCGGCAGAGCGGAGCGGGGAGGAGGTTTCGGGGTTCAGGTGCGGTTGCAGCGATCGCTCGCTCGCTCGCTCGCTTGCTGGGTCAGGCTTGAGGAAGGATTGATGCTCCAGGTGTTGTGAGATTTTGAGGAATTTGTCGAGAGGAAGAGGATTTACCACGAAGCAGGAGGATGAGTTTTTTAGATCTAGAGGCCGGCGGGCCACCTCCGAGTAGGCGTGATGTGAGAAAGGACCAGGATCCGACACAGGCTTTGGCTGCGGGAGTTTTCCAGATCAATACTGCTGTTTCCACTTTTAAGCGATTAGTTAATACCCTCGGAACCCCCAAGGATACCCCGGAGCTGCGTGAGAAGCTGTGAGTGATTCCGCTCTCAATGATGCTGTTTGGCAGCCTTGAGGATTTCAGCGTGCGTCTGCTACCTTCATTTTGTTTGTATGTTTGGCACGCTGCAAGAGCTCAGGGCGATCGAATCAGATACTCAAATTCTCCGCCTTTTTATCATTTGCAGGCACAAAACTCGGCAACATATTGGACAATTGGCCAAGGATACTTCCGCGAGATTAAAATCAGCTTCTGAAGTCGACCAATACACGGAAGTTACCGTAAGTCAATTTATATGCCCTCACATTGACCTAAATTGTGTCCCGCAGGTGTTCTCATCACAGACCTTGCCCACACTATTTTCGATGCTGATTATTGAAACGGGTTCTCGTGAGTTTCTGCCTGTCTGTCTCCATCTATGTTGAAAGATTGTCAGTTCGAAAGGTGTTTCACTGTGAAGATGCATTTTGCTAATTTCGTCCGAGATTTACAGCTTGCATCTTCGCTCTTCCGGATTATGGCTCAGACTTACTTTTTGGACTCAGTTCAGTCATGTACATGAGAGGTCATGTCCGTGTTTAGTTGGACAGCGTTTTGAACTCGGTGTCACCTCCTCTCCGAATTTTAGAAGTTCGAACTAGAATTTTGTCTCTTTACCGTCTATCTGTCGATCTCTCTTGAAACTGAATACTCCCGAGGGTCGATTCCAGTGACATCTCTCCACCCCCTCTTCTTGTATCGTACTTCATATGTCCGTGCTTTCATCTAATGGTCTTCCTATTTGCCCGGTTGTTTTTTCGCAATGAAGAAGAGGTTGTATTGGCCTACGTCAGTCTAGACCTCCTCGACTGATTCTCATGCTACATTCTCTTAAATACAGCGATCGTTGGTATTAGAGCTCAACAGTAACATGAAAGGTTCCCTGGCTGTTTATCCGGCCTCTACTCGCCTTGTTCATACTGATGATGCTGAAGCTGTTTCATTCTCAGATTTTATTGATCATGTTCCCCTCGATTCTTTTGATTCCTGACGACTGCGGGCTACCTGCCTGTTCTTTAAGTCAGCCCTTGATATCGTTAGTGACCTATTGATCAGTAGGATCCATTAGAGCATGTCATCATCAATCGAACTAGGCTACGTGTTTCAGCCACACTACGACGACATCTTGTCCGTTTAGTTTGAAATTAGCTTTTATTACCAAACACTTTATGAACTTGCGTTTAGGGCCTCGTGTGTCGTCTGCCATTAGAGCGCGTGCGCATCTTTCTGGCTGTGATGGCTGCCTGTGGAACCTATGGTTGTTTTCCAGGATTAGTGGTTTCTTGCTGCTGTTGTTTTATCTAGTAGAGGATCGAACAGATTGTATATTTTGTACGGACGACACATGGAGATACTTTGTGCTTAGGTGCATGTTTTCACTTATCAGAGTTTGTTGATTCTACCTTTGCAGTGTACTTCTGAAGCTTGTGTATTGCATCTAATGTGGGAATTGTGACTGGGAGTCATTTTTCTGATGAATGATTGCCGACTTAGATTCTCAGAGCAAGTTTTTGACTCAGCTTCATCCTCTGGGTCTTAGGTGTTGGTGGCTAGTGCATGCTCATCAGTTTTTCCTATATTCCTTACAGGCGAGCAAAAAGGTAGGAGATGCAAAACTTGCGAAGGACTTCCAGGCTGTCCTTAAGGAGTTCCAGAAAGCACAGCGTGTTGCAGCTGAGCGGGAGACTGCCTACGCACCTTTTGTGCCACAAGCTGCATTACCACCAAGGTGAGATGGCAAATCGTTGCAAGTTTTGTATGCTTCTTCACATGTACTCTGTTTGGTAGTTACTGCTGAATAATTGCTGGCTAGCGCCATGGATCTGCCTCTCCACTCAATGTAGCGGGATGTATGGTGCTTTTTTTACTCACTTTCGATATTCCTTACACCATCATACTGCTGAGCAAGGCTTTACTGGACTCACCTCCGACTTATCTCACTCGTATGTCATGGTCACTATTTTCTTCTGCACGAAAGTAGACGATTCTAGCTGTCGGTTAGATTGGTGAGCATGAACATTGATATTGTAAATAGAGGTCCTAGTCCGTCCTTATATTTATTGTACTGCTAGTAGAGTTGTCTGTCTAACTGAATATCTTTTGCAACTTGCAGTTATACCTCGAGCGAGCTCAAGTTGCAACCGGAGGAAAGTCAGGAGCAACGCCTTTTGCTCGTCGATCAGAGAAGACAGGATATTCTTCATTTAGAGAATGAAGTTGTTTTCAATGAGGCTGTCATTGAAGAAAGGGAGCTAGGTATTCGCGAAATCCAGGAACAGATTGGGGAGGTGAATGAGATCTTCAAAGATCTTGCTGTGTTACTACATGAGCAAGGAGTCATGATTGGTACGTCGGTTATTTTCCTCCTGGGCTGCAAGTTTTAACCTTGTTTGAGCAAAGCACACTCCTTGTGAAGTGGAAGCAATGGTTGGAGTGTACAGGTTCGAAGAGAAAGACTGGACGTAACACTGACACGGATTGTATGCCTCGGGAGAAGCATTTCTTAATGACTTTTATGTCAGCTTTTTAATGTCACATATTCTGTGCAGATAATATCGACTCCAACATAGAAAACTCACATGCTGCAACTACTCAAGCAAATCGTCAACTTACTAAAGCCTCGAAAACTCAGAAGTCAAATAACTCTTTGGTGAGTATTTTGCTAATATTTCTTCATGCAACTCCATGGCATTACAAAAGGGTTGCCGTATAATGCAGTAATTAAGTCAGTAACGCTACGTTACGGTATGACTCCATTACGTCTTATCTGCGATGAGAATGGGTGATCAATTATTTCTCCTTTTTTGTCACTGACTTTGAAGTGGTCATGTACACAGACGTGCCTGCTACTTATAATTTTTGGCGTGGCACTGCTCATTGTCATCATCGTCATGTTTGCGTGAAAATGGACTCCTGCAGTTTCTGCCATTTATTGATCAGCGTGGATAATAAGTTGAGGACAATCTCAACAGGTGCATGTACATTTCCATATTCCGGGTAGTGGCCTTGTTTTGCACCAATCTTGTAAGTTTAGAAGTCGAGATAGGAATCTCCTGTGTATATCTTCCATTTTAAGAAAGCCCATTGTTCAATTATGGAGTTCCTTATCACCAGGACGAGCTCTTGTTGGGCTAGCTTTGTGGGCAATATCTCAATTCGGTTTTTGAGGTGTATAATAGAGATGAAAGAACATTCTCAAGTCCAATGGTACTTTTGATCCAAGGAAAACTGAAGTGCAAGTTTTGAGTAAGTGAAAAGGGTTTAGCGTTGTGAGTTACTTTCTCATGAGCGAATAAAGAAGTGGACAGCCGCAGGCCTCATGTGTACTTGAATGTCATGTGGACATTTTTAGCCTTCTCTTTGTTTTGTTGTTCCGTGATAGACATAATCCTCCTTTGGCTTTTGGATCTTAGTATGATATCTACAATCAAGCATTGGGCTGGTTGAGGTCTTTTGAATTATTTGCTTGGTCCTTCTTACACTATAGTAAGCTCGCTATGTGATGTGTATCAAGTGGAATGGTTGCGCACCTTCAAATTGGAAGACATTTGGTCAGTGGAATATCTGGTTTGAGGATGGACGTATCAGGACGTCTTGAAAGAGTTCTAGGAGAAGAAATAAGGATTCTTGGGTTATCACTTCCTGGTTACCACTACTGGAAGTACAATAACCTAGGTTTGAAGTATGAGAACCTGTTTCGTGGCATGAGATCGTACTGTCAATGGAGTGGATGGCATCTTCCTGCCAGAAATGTGGAGATCATCGATCCTTTTCGCTTAGTATTATATTTTATATTTTGATACTTTGCTATATTATTCTTCATGCTGAATGGAAGAAATACTCGCTGTGTCCTAGAACTTACACTTCTTTATGGATCTGCCTTCCTGTAGGTTAAGCCTTCTAAGCCTTGGTGCATTCGCATGTTGAGCTCCTCGGCCTGTCGTCTGAACAACCACACTTTGTGGCGCCTCTCGTAGTCCTTTTGCAACTTATATTTTAACGTCAGCTTGGTATCAATAATCTTATATGTACGTGTGATCTTGTACTCCACAACTAGATAAATTCACATCGATTCGCTTCAAGCACACCGGTGTCAGTGTTTAATTTCGATTTGTTCAGCCTAGTGGGCCCAACCATCCCGCTTGTAAATTGTAAACTATGATTCTGTAAGTTTATGTCAGTTCTATTCACCAACATGTATCCTCTAGTTTGAAAATTCTCTCGGTGGTACACTTCATACTTCCATGAAGTAGTTGTCCTTCTGCAGCTAGGTTGTCGTCAATGTAGAATCTGACGGCTTTGTATGTACTGAGTTCGTAAAAATGTAAACCGCATTGTTCCAACGTGTATGACACTTCACATATATCCTCTGCACGCAAGGCTCATCACCACTTGCTATTGGTATGCAAGGGTCAAATCTCAAAACTAAATTTAAGAAATCGTCCAGTTTTCACTTCGGCTGCAGTATGCTGCCGTAGTTGTGGCAGTGAAGAGAACATTGGAACGTAGTATCACATGGGCACAAGTTCTCTTGCTTTGAAGGTTCACAATTATCGTGGTAAAATTCAACACGAATCTGGGGAAACAGTGAATCTTTCTGAATGGAAGCTGGTCATTTGCACGCAGGGCTACTAATACAGCATTAGGAAATCTCAGCGAACACGAAAATTTATGGTACGAACTACAAGAAAGGATCTTGATTACTATGTTTTGGTATGTAAAGGCAATGGATTCAGCCTAAATCGAGTATCGTCAGCGTTCGGGAAACTAAAGAAATGCGTTAGAGGTTGTGTAAAATCAAACATTTAGCCCGACTCTCGCAAATGCTGGTAATACATACACCGTAGGCCTTGACAGCCTGCGGAAGATGCTTGAAGGGTGTGGGGAATGGAGACTTGTATTGCTGAAAAGAAAAGTCAACATTTTCTCTGAACTGATCAATTGATCAGTTAACTACAGCTCAACAATGCGAGGCCACTCGCTTTACAGAGTTAAACACATCTGCCTGATTATGCACGGAAAAATGATTTCAGTGACAAGGTCCACGACGTGTACAGCTTAGCGCTTGACATTGTGGATGCAAGCCGAGGGGGCAGAGAAAACCAGCAGCATATACGGACAGAAGAGTACAACATGCCCAGCACACTGCACCGATGGGCATTCGGATGGCTCTCGTGCGTGAGAAAATCAAGCAGGTGATGGGCTCTGTGGAATTCACATTCCTGACATTTTTCTCGAGAGCTGTGCCGAAGGAAGGAACGCAAGCGCTTCACAGCTCACGCTCGCTGTTACATTCTGCCTGCGACACCGTGTGCAGAACTTGCGTCCAAAGTGGACGAAGAGCAGAGAAACTTCCGACTACGGACGAAGGACAGACTTGACAAATCCGATTCAGCTGCTCTGTTTTGCAGTGCGGTAATGATCATTATCAACGGAGAAACGTCTGCAGCAGCGAAGATGAGACAAGCGTGTGGGATATCAGGAAATAAGTGTCCCCTCCGGAACTTGACCTGCACTTCTGGCATCCCAGCAGCAGCCATAGCCACGTTGATGTCCCTTTGCAGTGGACCAAGCGTAAAATATATTCAGATCCGGTTGCCAGGCTGATCTGAACTGTATGACCTCTTTCCTTCTTCATGCTCATCGTCAGGTATGACCTCGTTCTGCCCTGTGTGCTACGACTGCCGTTCCCAATCTTACAAGGCCTTCGTTTCATATACTTTCTTACACCCATTAACAGAATCATAACCAGATCTTGGTAAGCTTCATTCACCTACAGGCGAATGATCCATGCTACGGGCAAGAAGCATAAACACGAAACTGATGCCATGAAATTTCCCCAAAGCGAGAGGCAATTGTTCCTTTGGCTACCAGCGGAGCAAAATCGCTGGTTCTCTGCTTTGCTTGAATTATAGGTCTCAGGAGCTCCCCCTCCAGTGACATGGATCCTCAGAGAACTCGGATCTGCCGCCTGATTTGAACTTCCAAAGTTGCTGAGATTCAACTAGCGTACATCGTACCCGCATGTCGGGACATGTTCCATCCCATCGACACCATCTTTTTTCCTCCTGCTGGAACCCGCACAGTGGCACTCGGGTTCCAAAATGTGGGTCTCAGCGCCCCCTGTGCACAATTAAAACTAGGGTTTTCCAGGTCCCACTTGAAAAGGCAGCAGCTGACTATTCGATTGATGTTGAAGTTCTGCATTGGGCCTACACATTTTAGTGATAGATTGATGAATGGTGGGTGACGACGAAGGGCTTATCAGTGACACTCTCTCCCTCTCTCTCCATCAAGCATTTATGATCGACAAGATTTCGATCGAGTTGGGTGGCGGGCCGAGTTGATGAGGAGGTTCACTAGATCGAGTGAGGTGCGGGAGGGAGTGAGTGAGAGCACTCACTCATTCAATGTCAAACTACTCTACACTGCAGAGCCAGAGGACTGGTCATGAATTACTGCTACCCGGAATAGATTATGCATAATTGCTTTGTTGTGAAACCAGCTCCCCTCCGACGAAGGCAGTAGTACTGTAGGACATGGCAGCCAAGCATTCACAGGCCACTGCAGAGGATTTGATACGGCAGTGGGTTCATCATCATACTCAACTCACATCACCCTCTCCCTTCTCACTGAAGATCAGAAGAAAATGGCCATTGTCATGTACTGGCCACGTCGTCATCATTGATACCACATTGCCAGGTGCAGGGGACCAGTGCGGGAGTGAGTGACTGGAGGGGAGGGTACCGCATCGCCATACCCTGGTCTCGTAAAAAGACCTGGTTAGGACGAATGCTAAACACGTTGCTGCTGATGACACGCTGGGTTCAGGCTTCTGCATTCCGATCCATAACCTCGAAGGCAATTTATTCCTTGAAAGGTGTTAGTAGCTCCTCATCAAGCTCATAATTAAGCATGATTTGATGGCAGCATCAATCGCTGCTTGATTCTCGCTTTTGTCCGTTACAGCAGCATGTCAGAACGACGAGAATACTGTACTGAATTGCTAAATAATACTGAGGTTCCTCCACAGAAAAATACTTGGATCGATCGACGACTTCTTAACCTTCTTCTCGTTCCTATGTACCTCAACCCAGTTATGGAGAGAGAAAGCAACCATACTCATACAATATGGTAACATAATGTTTTCTTCCTCGAGGGTCTGCTTGAATCATGGGGTGCCCAAGTGGCCACAGGCCATATTATTTGGGACGCATTGAGAGCTCAAGAACCCCTTCGGTACCTGCCCCTTACTATGTAGTGGGTACTTCTGATGATATAATGTTATATACTTCAATTCGTGGAGTACATCGTCCATTATGTAATCCGGGATGTGCTGGTGCATATTCCATTGCCCATGTTCTTACATGTCCAAACTGAACGCTTCTTTCCCATGACCTCGGGTTGATTGATGTCAAGCTAATCCAACAACACATTGAAGACGGAGACTTTAGGCCAACTCCAGAGCGAGCGAGACGAGCTTTTCCGACGGGCAACTATTCAGATGTAGACTCCACTTTTAGGGAGTAACATCCGCATTTAATTTCACGAGTTATATTTTATATGCATCCGACGAACTTGCATCGCTCTTATGCATTGCTATTATTCTTCCACACCACCAGGTCTTGGTCACACGCACACTAGTGCTCTGGGTTTGTGGTTTTTATACATATTCCAAGTATTCTCTCTCTATCATTCATTCCTTTATATCATATTTTCTTCTTCTTTTGATTTCTAATGCTTTGGTATAAGTCTGACCCGTATGAAATTGGGTGTCATGCAGTGTTCACATTATAATTGGAAAATGATATTGTAACGCACACTCCTCCCACTTCGTCTTTGCATGGGAATTTGACGTCAGTATATAAATATATATATATATATGGAAATCCTTTAAAAAGCACCCTAGCAAGCTCCTGGGAAAAATTAACCAAACCGAGGTTTGAAAAGCCAAACCTTGGCGCGTGCGACCAGTATTCGATCTTTTAGATATTAGGACTCATCCGCGTCATAGGACCCGGCCAGTCGGCCACCCATTAGTCAACAAACGCAGAAGACATGGCACATGATTACGGAAGATGAGCGCAATCTTTCTGTTACTTGCCTGGATGCCAGGTGCATGCCCTTCATCCACACATGGCGACCAGGACGAGGCTGCTCTCCTCCCATGTCTGAAACCCGAATAGTCATACCTGGCCAATGGCAAATTCCTCCAAGAGCAGCCAGCAACTTGCGATAGGGATGGGCACTTAGTGGACTCACTGTCCACTAGTCGACTCCGTCAATACATCGACTGAGTCGACTAAGTCAAGGGGCATTAGCGGG